CACTGTGATCATTGAGTTTGCTCCTTAGTTTTAACTCATTTCTTTTCTCTTCTTCTACTTCTTTCTTTTGCCTTTGTTTACCCAACTTTTCCCACACTGATGGATGTTTTTAATCTTTGATATGGATCTGTTATTGAGAAAACAGGTTCAAACACTGTTTTTCTTTGCTGCATTCACGCTCATGTAGAATAATTCTTTATTTATATTATTGATAACTCTGATTTTATTAAGCAGCTAGGGAACAATACATTCTGTGATCATTAAAAATATATTATCTTCTAAATTACTGCAGTGGTTTACTTTCTGTTTATTCTTGTCAGCCAGATAATGTGATTTTTTAAAAAAAAAATATTCAATTTTTTCTTTATGGATTTATGAAAAGGTCATTCCTAGGAGGATCATAATGTTCCAACAATTATGACACATTCATTTCTACGCTCCTTCTATCACCGTCACCTTGCCTGCGTGTCTGTCTGCTTGCTCACCCATATGAGAAAACCAATGCTAGAACATAGCATTAATTTCTCGTATTTTATTCATTGATTTCAAATACAAGCTGCTATTTTACACAATGACAGTGGAGATTTCTCCTGTAGGACATGTGATTAAAAGCCCCTGTAATTCTCAGTTCCATGCTTATGTACAGATTAGACACACATATGTAATCTGTGCCTGCATGTCTTGAATGTACATATAAATGTGTAATGTTCATATCAGGGCTGTGCACTGGTATTAGCTGGATCTTGAATTCTGGGTCGAAGCAGGGCTATTTCTTTTGACCTGGGGTAGACCTAGATTGCAGGGCACAGCCCCAGTCATGTTCTATTATAGATCAGGGATGCGAGGAGGAGCTAAGTGATGGTCACCTACAGCTTAACAACAGATTATATTAAACTAGTGTACAGTGGTGCCTCGCTTGATGACGTTAATTTGTTCCAGCGAAATCGCTGTAGAGCGAAAACGTCATCAAATGAAATAAAAAAAACCCCATTGAAACACATTAAAAACCAGTTAATGCGTTCCAATGGGCGAAATACCTAATAGTCCAACAAAGATCCTCCATACGGTGGCCATTTTTGGGTGACTGTTAAGCGAAAAATAGCAGGGAGCCATTTTGAGCAGCCGGTGGCCATTTTGAAAACCCGACGATCAGCTGTTTTTATTGTCATAATGTGAAGAATCGGTTCCCGAAGCAAAGCAAAGCGAAAAAAGCCCATTAAAACATCATTGTGAAGTGGATTTGTCATTATATGGGGTAATCGTTAAGCGGGGCACAACTGTATGTTAATTATATGATTTATCTGAAAGAATCCGCTTGAAATCTTCTTTCAAACAAGCAGTTCACATCAGCCATTGGTGAAAAGATGAGCTGTGGTAAAGCAAAAGGCTCCAGAATATGAACAGTGAATGGAGCAAGTAGTAAATGCTTATCTCAGATTTTGGTATGTGTGCACCCCTTTGCTTCAGCCATGAGCCACCTCTATCCAAACTCTTCTTGGTACTATACCAGAGCAGAAGAGAAGAGAGGAAATAGTATACAAGACTTGTTTGTGCATACTAAATTAAGGTCTGAATGGTGCTACTGAGTTTCGTTTAGTGACACACCCCAAAACACGTGTTTACAGCTATCTACATGGTTAGGCCTTCTACTCTTAAGCCTAGAATGCTTAAGGATAGAAGGCCATTTTGTGAACACATTCTAGATCAGTGGTGTCGAACTGTGGCCCTCCAGATATTCTTGGCCTTCAACTCCCAGAAATCCTGGCCAGCAGAGGTGGTGGTGAAGGCTTCTGGGAGTTGAAGTCCAAGAACATCTGGAGGGCCACAGTTCGACACCACTGTATGGTACCTACATCCATCTAGAATGCATTCACAGAATGGCCTTCTATCCTTAAGTCTCCTAGGCATGCTTAAGTCAACTGAAACACAGTGAAGTTTGTGTTGGATTGTGTAACTGCCGGAGGAAAATTAATCTTTATATTCCATTTAGTTAATCCCTATTTAATAAAAATGGAACTATTTGAAATAACCAATATTGTTCTTCATTAGGAAAGCCAGCTCTTTCCTGAGTCCTCATAACAGGTCTAGAGTCTTCTTCCAAAACACCTGCACAAAATAAATGCATTATAAAGGGCTATCTTAGGAGGAACAGCTGCTACATCCAAGATGTAGCAGCTGAACTCTAAATGTAGTTGTTTTTTGAGAAATAAAATAAATCCCATTTTAAAAAAAATCATTAACACAAGGACTCTCCAATATAGCACCTAGTCCAGCTAACACACAGTGCTACTGAAGTTATATGAAGATGACTGAGAATTATAATTGAGGCCTCTGTTTCCATAAATGGAGCTGGCTATTAGAAAAAGGTCATTCTACACAATGCCTCTGTTTAGCCCTAATGCCATCATGGAACAACACTCTGTTCAAACCTAGAATCAGTATAAGGAGATTAAAACAACAAATGCTATTAGCCATTCAGCACTGCATGATACTGAGAGGACTGTCAAGTTAAAACCACTACCTCTTGTGCCTAGTAGCAAGGATAATAAAAGTCCCTTGGTAGTATGACTACTAGGACAGCATTATTTCATCCCCTGAGATTTCAGAACCAAAACCTAAGGTCTCTGTGATGTCATAGAATGAGGGTAGACAAAGTTTAGCAGGGAATCAAGCACAACAAATATACCAACACTTTTGTGTTGATCCAGTGAGCTGTGGTGCCAGGCTATGAATGGGTAGAGGTGGATGCCCAGGATTTAAAGCCACCTCTCTCATCAAGTTGGATGTTCTCCTCTTCCAGTTTTTCTTGCTCTGAGATCTGTCTCCCTGCCTGGAGACTAAGAGAAGTACTGTAGTTCCTTGAGACTTCAGCTACTACCCTGCAACCTGGTAGCTACAGTCTCTAAAAGTATGAAATCCTGACATTGGATCTGGGAGATGTCCAGTTGTGGAACTCTCTCACAAAACATACTGACCCAAGTCCAATTATTAGTCCTAGCATGAGTATAGCTACTGAATCAATGTGGACTTGTTAAGTTTACATTTATAGAAGTGTCTTTGATTCAATGGGTCCACTTTATTTGGGACTACCTATTAGACTGTTAACTTGGCACCATTATATTTTTTTAAGAAACCAAGCTAAGTCATTCCTTGTCACATGAGATTTAAATAGCAATTTTATGGGATGTTTGTGTGACTGCTTTTTATTTGTGTGATGCACCTTTGTTTTGATGGTTTTAAAAAATAATTTTATATTTTTGTCTTTCCCCCCAACATTTGACACATTTTCTAGGTATCAGGTTGATGGTGGAAAGGAAGAATATAAATTTACAATTTTGCAAAATAAATGAAGCAGTGTAATGATAACTTCTGTGCTGCTGTGTGGGAAAGGTAGATTGATATTCTAAACAAGTTGGAAACACTTGTTTAGTGTCTGCATTCAATTATTTCTGAACATTATTGATGGACTCACAATATTGCATTATGAAAGACTATTAGTGAATAAGTGGAAATAAATGAGCTACTAGTCCATTGCAGGGTAAGTGATAAATGCAGAGTGAAGTGACAGATCTGACAGGGCACAAAAATGCAAATGCGTTGAAGGGGATAACTTAATGCAGGCAAACCAGTGTGAGGTTATATTACTGTGGTTGGAGACAACAATAAAAAGTCTAGAGTTCTCCTTGCCGAGTAAGTTTTTCCATAGCATCCTTCTTTCAAAACTGAGGGTGATGAGGCAGTAGTTTAGAAGAATACAACTCAGACAACATCAGAGATACTTGCAGAACCTTGAAGCTGCTAATCAGGTTTTAGAGAACTCACACTATTCTTGAACATTTTCTATGGTTCCCATTGTCTATGATGGTCAGGGGATTCTGGGAGCTCTCCAAAAAAGTAACTTTTCAAGCTCTGATGTGGCGTGGACTTTCACAGACCTACTTTATTAAATGCATGAAATCAGTGGACAGTTGGAATAGAGAAGAGGACTTTGGATTCTAAACAAATGAGAAGTACATATTTTCATACCAGAGTTTGATGAATTCATATACCTGGAGGAGCTCAAGCTGCAGTATATCCACTTTTGCCAACAACTATCCAGCTTTCAGAACACCCACTACTGTCTTCAAAACACAGAGATCCTATTATACACTTGCCAAGATCCTCTTCTAAGCATTGTAAATCTCACTAGAGTAGGTTCACTGAATTGATGGAGATTTGGTGAGTCAATTCCTCCATATGTTATGTTGATTCAGATGGGCCACCTTTAACTGTGACTTACTATGATAAAGCAAGTGAGAACTAGAGAAGACCCATTTGGGTCAGTACAATTTATGGAGGAAATGATTCACCAAAGTCCTATTGATTCAATGGCCTTATTGTAATGTGATTTTCTATGATATGCAATAGGAGTTTTACCTATATATTCAAGACAATAATGACAGACTAGCAAATGAAATTCATAATATTCTGATGTATTCTGTAAAGTTCAGAACTTGTTTGCATACTTTATTTCTGAGGAGTAAACCATATAATGCAATCCTTTTCTTCTAAAAAAGTGCTTCAAATAGATAGATAGATAGATAGATAGATAGATAGATAGATAGATAGATAGATAGATAGATAGATAGATAGATAGATAGATAGATAGTTGTGGGTTTTTCGGGCTCTACTCACAACAACCATTAGATCCCAGCCGTGAAAGCCTTCGCGAAAATAAATGAATGAATAAATGAACGAACGAATGAATAATTAGGCATAGATAATGGAGTTGTATCAAACAATTGTCTTCTATTCTCCTATACCTCCCCACGTTCATCAGAAATTTTTCATAGAGCTGCCTTTTATTTCATAATTTAGGGGAATGTTAAAAAGTATCAGCAGGATTTTCTGCCTCTTGAGGAAGAACTGGACATTTCCCCAAGGAACTTAGAAACCACATAATAAATTGTAATGGCCCAAAAAGTATTCCTTTCAAATATGTATCTGTAAATGCAACTTGCCTGAGTACCACTTTCAGTCTTCAGATCCTCATCTGGATCTACACCAGCCCTATTAAAGAAAAGGAAGCAACCAAATGGTAAGTGCAGAAGAGCAACTGAAACATATGTCATAGAAGGGCATAAAATAAAAATGAAAAACATCAGAATATTAAGGTGCAGCAGAAAGACACAGGCTAGTTCAAATGCTGGTATTTTCCTGACTAAACTGTGGCATTGTTTGGGTACTTAAAAGCAGAGATAAGAAAGGTGATGCCATTGGGCCACATATGGCACCCCTGAAGATTTTTTTTCTAGCCATCAGGAGTCCCAGAGAAGAAAAAACAAACAAAACAACCTCCACAAATTTGTGTGTCTAATCCAGATACTTCTTGTTTACTTTTTACAAATGCCCCAAACCAACATTTTCTGTGCTCCATGAAGGGTTAGCGGGCACAGCTTTGGTTTCTCAGCTTCCTGAGTTTGCCCATCTCTGATTTATATGGCTGATCTGTCATGTACAGTTTGGCCTTCATCAGGCTGACCAAATAGATATCTTCCTTGCTTTTGGACCTCACAGCATACCTGTTACCTGAGGGCAACGAATGTTTGTTTTGCCTGTTGGTGTTTGCCAGAGCACCTTTTGCCTCACTCTGCCCTATATGGAGTTATTTGCTGATAATATCCCCTTATACTTAATGCTGCGGTTTATTAAAAGGCAAGGAAAATAAAAGTATTTTATTACTGTTTTTATTTCCCTTGGCTCTCTAAACCACAGCGTAAGTATATATGGGATATTTATCAGCAAATAATAATAATGTGAGTATTATTCATAATGCTACAAGGAGGGAGAAATTATGACTGAGGGCTAACACCAGGTTGTGTTGCTCAGAAATCTGAAACTGAAGCTTTAGTTAAGTTGTTCCCAACCTTGGGTCTCCAAGTTCTTGGACTTAAAATCCCAGAATCCTTCATCATTATCTATTATCTGTGCTAGTCAGGACCTTTGGGAATTATAGTCCAAGAACATCTGGGGCCCCAAGGTTGGGAATCGCTGGTTTAGTTTGACTAGATGCCCCCTACTATTTGATAAACTGCCCTTTTAAAATCACGTCTAATGAAGTAACATATCATATATCAAGGCAGAGAAAATGTGTTCTACCAACAGATGTTTCATTTCATTAGGACTATTTGGTAATCTGCTTAACATTTTTTTAAATTCTTTGTGTGTTTCAGGGTCAATAATAACAAATCAGAAATACTGTTAATCCCCCCCATTTAGAGTGTTTGATAAGAATGATTCCATTAGATAAAAATACGATTTAATATTTAATACATCTATTTTTCAGCTTATACAGATTCTCTCATGGCCTATAAAATTAAACTTAAAATACATTTTAAATCAGTAATTGAAATACAACGGTCATTGGTCTGGCAATACAACAGACTACAGTTGGTAGATATGATGAAAAATTACAATATAAAATAATCTACAAGTACATTTAAAGACCCCTCTAAAGAGGAAAGTCTCATCTAAACAGGGTATGTTTCTACACCTGGTAGTTCACAAGTAGTAAAAAAAAAAACCCACAGACCAGAATCCTTGCTGGAAAGGCTAAGAATTGTTAAACATAACTGTAATACAGTGGTGCCTCGCATAGCGAACGTTTCGCTATGCGATGAAACCGCACAACGAGGGGTCCCGGGCCATCGCTGGAGCGTTCGCTCAGCAATGGCCCCTATGGGCTTTTTTCGCTATGCGATGATCGCGCGGACGCGATCAAAGCATAGCGAACAGCTGATCGGCGGTTCCAAAATGGCCGCCGCTAAAACAAAATGGCAACCGCTGTTTTGCCTCGCTAATGAGGCATCCAAAATGGCCGCCGCAATGGAGGAAACTCGCAGAACGGTGAGTTTTAAGTCCATAGGAACGTATTAAATCAGTTTTAATATGTTCCTATGGGCTTTTTTGTTTCACTTAACGATGGATTCGCTGAGCGAGGGTTAATCCGGAACGGATTAACCTCGCTAAGCAAGGCACCACTTTTATTAGTAAAAGTTGAAACCTCCAATGAGCAGGAGGTGGATGCTTATAAATGAAGGTACTTTTTTAAGTATTTCAGACCAAAAATGTAAAAAGAACTCTGCTTGATCAGTCTAAAGGCCTATCTAGTCTACTACAGCAGTGGTTCTTAACCTTTGTTACTCGGATGTTTTTGAACTGCAACTCCCAGAAACCCTAGCCAGCACAGTTGGTGGTGAAGGCTTCTGGGAGTTGCAGTCCAAAACTCCTGAGTAACCCAAGGTTAAGAACCAGTGCACTACATCATTTTGTTCACCAAATGGCCATGCAGCCAGGAAGCCCCAAGACAGTTTGTGCTCCCCAGCAACTGATATGCAGAGGCATAGTGCTTCTGTTCTATTCTGTTATGTGCTATCAAGTCAGAAGTGACATATAGCAACCCTAATAGAGATTTCATGGTAAGCAAGAAATTTAAGTAGTGGTTTTATCAGTTCAACACCCCCCCAAAGTTTCCATAGCCAAGTGTGGATTCAAACTCATGTCTCCGGAGTTCTAAAACATCATTATATCCATGGTATATGGTGGTACCTACTGGTACTTCTGGTAGTGGAGGGAAGATATATCCATCATGGCTAGTAGCCTTGTTAGGCCTCATCCTCCATGAGTTCATCTAGTCCCTCTTTAAGCCGTCCAAGTTAGTAAGCAGTTCGTCTCACCAACAGCAAGTTCAAGTTTGTGCTATATGAAAAAATACTTTTTTTTCTTCTGACAAAGGATGTTTATGATTTTGAACTTAAGAACTAGCACCCTAAATTTGAACAACATACAATCATGTAACCAGTGGATTTCTTGCAGCATGTCTCCACAGGAAACAGATTGTTTCTGGTACGACAACCCTGTTATTTCCAAGTACTGTATGTGTTCCCAGGCTGACAACATTTTCAGTTCCAACTGTTGAAACTCCAAATTCACAGACTGACACTGCAACAAAGCATAACAGTTGAAGTGCCTCAGGCACTGTAATTTGTCTTTTCTGTTACTGGGGAAGTTCCAGAAAGTAGTCAAGTGATTGATTTAGAAGCTCAGATGATTGTTTCAAATATATAACAGATAGATAGAATTTCTCCATGAAGAAATATCTAATGTTACATCGGGACTCACCACAGTGCCTTGAGACAGAAAGTGTTTGACCCCTTTGTTGCACATTCTCCCTGAAGGGGTTTTTTAGTCAATAAAGCTTCAAAAAGGGCACATTTCTATCTGTTGTGCTTGTCAAAAGTAATTGTTGTAGATCCTAAGGGCTTAAATGCCAGACAGCACATCTAATGGTTGGATGTTCACACAGATTTCTGAGAACCACTGTGCATGTGCTTGACCATTGGTTTTTTTGGGCGTCAGTGGTGTGATTTTGGCTCTTTGTGAACTGCCTACCACAAGCACGACGTACAATTTAAGCTTTCCTTAAAGGGGTTTCAGCAACGACTTAGTGCCTCACAATCTCTGCATTTAGTTCCACCGAAAACCTGTTTTTAAGATGATGGACAAGCAAGTGAAGGTGGGAGAGGCAGTAGGCATGCATTCATTAGTCATGCAAAGCAATTATGCAAAGTGACCCAAGACACTTAGACAGAATTTTCGTAAATGTAAAAGAGAAATATAGCTGGCTCAGCTATATATAGCTGGATGGCTCAGTAATTTAGGTAACTCGTTGCGGGGCCAGAAGTTGGGAATCACTGTGGGTCTAGAAGAGCCAGCCTGTGTGGCCTTGGGCAAGCTGCACAGTGCCAGGATGCTCTCAGAAGAAGGGAATGGTTAACCACTTCTGAGTAATCTCTACCAAGAAATCCTTGAAACGAATTACCATAAGTCAGGCTTGACTTGTTGGAACACAATTATTATAGCGGGCTGAATAGCTCAGTGGTTTAGGTATCTGGCTGGGGAGCCAGAAGTTGGAAATCTGATCCCCCCCCCCGTGCCTCCTGGGAGAAGAGCCAGCATGTTTACCTGTGGGGGAGGCAATGCTTATTATTTATTGTAATATTTATCTATTTACAATATTTTTGATCATTCAAAGCAGCATTTAATATTTAAAACTGTATGCAGCAAAATAAAAAAAAATCCAAGAAAAACAATAGTTTACAAACAAAATATATCTTACCCTGTGTAAGATATATTGATATTAAGTAGTGCATTTCACCATCCCTTCCACATAATTAACTATCAGTTCTGACAGTTGTCAGGAAACACATAGTGTGATGGTTGTCACAACATGAAACATGCACTATGCTTTATGGAACAGGAGAGGAATCAGCAGCAGAGGCTCCGCATTTTCACTGGCAGTTCATTGCTGCTTATAAGAATGTACCACCACCCCACCCCCAATAGCAAACTAATTTCCAGTTAGTAAGGGCTATGGAAAGCCAGAACAGGATTTTTTGTTTTCTGAGGCAGATGAACGTTATATCCAAACAAGATGCCACATTCTTCAATTCCACATACAAACATCAAATGGTCTGGCAATTAATGAATGGTTTAGGATGTCCTGTCTTCTCTGAACCATAGTAGCAAATGTGAGGACATCATATATGTAACTCCGGCTTACAACCACTCTTTCTTGGAATTGGAAACTAACTATCACATGGGTTCCTCCCCCAAAGGTGAACCTTATGTCCAAATGAAAAACTCTCTGGATAAGCTGTTTCAATATACCTTTTGATAAAATGTTCATTTTTCAGATAGCCTCCAGCAGAGGAACCTGATGTGTCTACGAACTGATTGTTCCGCAAATCTGCATCCTTTTGATCCAAAGCAGTTCACCACACAAAATACTTCCCGTAAAGATGGAGCCTTCAGTTGGCTGGAGGAAGGGTGATAGAAGGTGCAGATGGTCTTCTAGATTTTCATTTCATGATGTAACTCTCTCAGCCTTACAGGATTCAGCGATGGCTGTTTGCTTTTTGTTGCTACAAGGAATTTAAATCAAAGCATGCAGGTTGGGGATTCTATGAATTGCAGTCCAAAAAGTAACATCTCTAAGCTCTTAATTATTA